ATTAAATTCTAATACACATTGTTACATGGCATGGTAGCATAGTCATATCCATATGAATCGGAATAGCATTATTGGACATATGGTTTAGTCTCACGATATATTGAATAGATCATCGGTTTATCAGCTATGTCAAAAAAGGACTTGCCGATAATTCGATTCGTTCCCAAGCTCGAAGCAGCGTATAATAAAAAGTTATTGAAATCGTATTGCGTATCATTCACGTCCCATCTGAAGATTATTTTATCACGCTCAAGTATTATCATCAAAAGCAACAGGTTCCTCTACTGACATTACGAAATTTACATTTTCATTTTAAATTTTAATTTTAATTTTAAGACTTATCGTTAGCTTTTCTTATTTTTAAGCTTCTTTCTTCAAATTGCGTCAGATCTGACTGGATCGGTTTAGAATTAAAAACTACTAAAACGAGTTCCAGATTTTTTGAAACGTGTGGCGCAAAAATGTGTTGAGTGTTAGCAGACTCTATCCATCTCTTTATTCGTGCATTTGTTCATCTACCTAATAATATGTCTATTTACTAAAAACTCAAATGATATAAAAAAAAAAGTTTAATTAAATAGACGAAATCACGGAGAATCACAAATTAATCTTATTAATCAATCTCTTTTGCAAACGGAATTTGATTCATAGATACTGAAACACTATCACCACATAGCGGTCAAAAGATGGAACTAATCGCTACTGTTGTACTAGTCGCACACTGTTACTTTCCTTGTCTAGAAATATGGAAGTTTACTTCTTTTAATAAATATATTACAAGAATCGACAAGAAACAATAACAACTATTATTTATTTTAATTTATGTATAACAAGATCTTTAAGACGACCGCTTGTTTTGGTTGCTTCTTAACAACTGAGATTACAATATATTTTCGCTATTTTATTTTCTTTTTTTCTCGTTTAAAATCAATGTCGCCACTGTTAAACTTGTTTTAAAATACGCGCGCCGCTACACTCAAATAAGTGAGTTATTGCCATCTTGGCTCGTTGCATCTAAGAATTTTTAGTCGAATACGATAGGTGGCAGTGTAAATCAGTTTTTCATTTGCAGCAAAATTGATTAACAGGATCCGCGAATTTTTGTAATTGTATAATTTAATTAAATCTTCTCCTTTCTGTTCCTCGTCTATATTGTAATATGATTTATGATTGGCTTCTCAGTTGTCAATCGAAATGATATACCGATAATGCAGTATCCTGTAACAAAATGGTGAAAAACAAATTCCAATATTATGCTTTTTGTGTTTGTAACATATATTTGAATACATTATATTTGGCTTTAATATAACACAACATAATTCTTTTGAATACAATTTTGTTTTTATATATTTAGTTTGATATGAATACTCAGTGGTTTTAGCAATAGTGTTTTATAATGTTTACATTGCTGGGTGAAGTAAACTTATGGACTTTTGACGATAATATTAATATAAAGAGTACAGACTTTGGTGCATTTCGGTGAGATAAATTAATTCATTCGTATTATAAATTACACTAACAATGAGATACATTAACAAAGTTACATACAAAATGTAGTTTAAAATATTTGCATTCTAAAATATTGTAATGATTTTACAAATAAATCTTTCATATACTTCATGATACTTATTATTATCATTACATTTTCATCATTACAACGAAAAAAATTTTATATTACTATTTTTTAGATATCATGATAAACGTGTTGATCATTTACATGAAGAAGCAAAAAGATCTTATTGTCAGAAACGAGGTATGATATATGTACCAACAAATAAAAAAGGAAATAAATTAAAAGATTCTATCAAATACTTAGAGGTAAAATTTTAATTAAATATTAATAGCAGATAGCAAGTTTTGTGTTTTATTACTTATTAATAGCAGATACAAGTTTTGTGTTTTATATTTAATAATTATTATAGGAACAATTAAGAGATAACACAATTATATATTGCCAGTGGTATGATGACTGTGTTTTGCAATTGATGTTAAGTAATGGGTTGTTAATACAAATACAAGTTAATATTGCCACTGGTGATATTTCTAAAATAACTTTTGACAAATATCTTATAGGTAAACTGTTGGAACATATATCAGATGGTAATTATATATGTTTGTATGATTTAAATTTATATGTTCAAGAAACTTTAAACATTTTATTTATATTTATAGTGATAATTACTAAAAATTATATTTTTTCTGCCTATAATGATAACCAAGTTACTATTGTACATTTCACGAAATCAAAAAGACATATCTTTGATAAAATTAATAAACTTGAACCAAAATTGTCTACAATTGATCTCTTTGGCCCTAATGGTCGTAGATTGGACAAAAAAATACAAACAAATAAATGTGGAGATCTGGTAGGTATATCTATAAAAATTATCTTTTGTTAAATTAAAATTCATCTATATATTATAATTAATAGTTCATTTTAGTTACTTTTTCAAAGATATAATAAATTCTTAAATATTATAGATATTAATTTGGTGGAAATCTACTATGAATGAAGTCTATCCTTGGAGTCCTGCTGTAAAAGAACATGATCGTGCTAACATACATCTTTATCGTTTAATAGGGTATAAAAATATCTTTTTAGAAGGAGATTTTTTCTTATGTTTTAATTTTATTTATTTTATCTCTCTATCTAATATTTAATAAAAATATTAATTTGTTTTAAATTTAATTCATAGATAATGCATACTTATTTTCAGAATAAAATTAGAATTAATTTGTTATATACGTAGTGAATTTGATCCATTATGTATAATGTTTGATGCATGTAATGATAATATTATTCATTCTGTAGAACAAAAAGTATCAAGAAAGGTAATAGGATTGTGTTATTGGATAGAATAGTAATTTCTGTAATATTACAACAAATACAATTGAAAACTTTATAGGGGGAAGTAACTATAGAATGGCGTACATATGAAGTTTCCCCGCAAGATAAACTTCAAAGAATAACAATGGTTTCTGTATCATTGCCTACACATACAAGTTGTGTAAAATTTTCACCATCTCAAGAATTGTTATTATTATGTTGTATAGATGGTTCTGTTATAATTTATGACCAAACTAGAGCTACCACCACTAGTGTAAAAGCTGCTTTTGTAAGTTATGCACATAAATATATAGTCCAATATAAAGTGCAATATTGAAAAAATGATTTCTCAAATACATAAAATAATATACATATATAAATTGAAGATACCTACATTGGCATCATGGCATAGTGATGGAATGATATTTGTTATTGGAAATGATAAAGGTCAATTTCAACATTTTGATATTGCTTTATCATGTATTAAAAGTCAAACACTAACTGAAGAAGCAGCACAAGCTAATATTCTTGACTTATCTTCATATTTTAGGTATTATCTTTAGTTTACCTTATCAACAGTAATTTTTATTAAAAACATTTATAGAATTTTTATTAAAAACATTTATAGAATTCAACCAGCATTACTTCGCATGGAATGGAATAAAAGGAGTGATTTAAATTGTTACATTAATTTGCATAATCATGGAAATTCTTTATTGTTATTAATTTTTCAAAGGTATAACGTTTTATAATCTTTTTATAATATTATTGTTATTAATTTTTCAAAGATATAACGTTTCAAAATCTTTTTATAATATAAACAAAAAAGATAATATAATAAATTTATAGAGGACCGCTTGGTGTTATAAAAATGTTGGAAGGAATTTCTTTCACTGGTGATGTATTAGTCAAAAGATATTTATCTTTATCACAAGTTGAACAAGCAACTTCTTTATTATTAGCTATGAATTGGGATACTCATTCTCGTGCATGTATGCATGCATTAAATCAAATTGTAAATTATTTGTTTAAACTACCACTGACTACAGAACGTGAAAGTAAGATATATTTTTGTAATTTAATTAGCTTGTCTCATATAATATAAATAGTTTGATTCTCTATAGATCTTATACAGAATGCATTGGGTAGTTTTCATGTACCTATTAAACCAATAAGTCAAGCTATTGAAGAAGAATATGGAGATGAAATAAGAGACTTAACAAGACGTTTCTTTCATCATTTATTGAGGTACATGCATTTACTTTTTAAAAAATATATTTGGATAACACACAAGACTAATATTAGATGTTATAGGCATCATATGTTTGAAAAGGCTTTTCGACTTGCTATAGACTTAAATGATCACGATCTTTTTATGGATATACATTTTTATGCATTACTTGTAAATGACACAGCAATGGCAACTGCTGCAAAAGAAAATGCTGAACGCATATTAAGTAGATCAAATAGTTGCAATAGTTCGCGTAAGAATAAATGAAATATCCTGTATACTTTATTTATTTCAAGAAACATTATAAAAGATAATTTTCAGATTCTACATGTTCTAGAGCATCTTGTTCATTGTGCTCTGATTCAATAAGTGATAAAGGAGAAGAATCTTATAGTGATGAAAGTGATAATTTTTCAAAACAAAATCAGACTGATATAAAACAAACAAGAAGTCACAATTATAAAAAGGATACTAACAGCCAAATTCCACCCTTACCAGTTCTCCATCCACATCCTGTTCATAAAAATCTGTTATCTACGTCATTTACTGATATGACACCTGATGAAAAAACCGAATGTAATTTAGAAACAAAACCTTTCAATGTACCTAATAGCACTCTTACCACAACTTCCTTCCATCATTCATCGCATCTTTCACTTCCAAATACATTTTTTACATCAACATCATTCAACAAACCATTATATAAAATTCATACAAATCCAACATTAATATCTACAATGACTTCTACTAATAATTCACAATCTTTAAATAATGTTTCTGATGATTTAATGACAACTTCATTTGGAAGTCTATCTTTAAATGAAAGGAAAGTAGGAATATCTAATAAAATTAATGAAAATTCTGTAGATACTACACTGAAAAAAGTTCTACGTGGTGAAATGCAGTTTCCTCTTGATAATATATCTAATGATACAATAACAACAAATTTAGTACAAGAAAATAGTTTCATGTCAACGCCTTTTAACAATCCAACATATGACTCAGTTACATCAGACGTTTCTTCTAATCTATTAAAATCTTCATTAGATAATTTAGATAATAATATTATGTCTACGTCATTTAGTATACATGGTACAGATGTTTCAAATTCATATGATAATTTTAGTGATTCAGTAACCACAAAATCTAATTCAAACACTGCTTCATCTCCTATAAAAAATATCAAATCATCCATTACAATGAATGATTTTGTGTCTAAAACACTTTGTGATTCTATTCCAACAAATAAATTAGCATCTAGTTTTCATAACAATCATAATAATCTTGCATCTACTTCATTTAATTTTCTCGAAAACCAAGTACAAGATTCCTGCAATAGCAGTTCAAATAATTTTACTAATGAAGATAATTCTATTATCGTGAAATTACAGCAACCTTTCCTGGGAAAAAAGCAAGTAGATTTTAATATTCCACCACCACCTTCTTTAACAAATTCATTTACGAATTATTTTCAAAGTCTTCCAAAAAAGAATCTTCCTTTATCTAGAAGTACATCTGGATTGGCTGATATCGATGAATCAATTAAAAAATTTTCTTCTATTAGAACAAAAAATATGAATTCATATTTGTTACAAAGACAAAATTCTGCTTCTAATATTTTACAAGATCAACATAAATATAATAATATTCAGTCTTCTAGATATAGATTTAATTATGACTTTGACTGTATTTCATTTCATGGAAGTTATGATAACATTGATATGCATTCCTCTTCTAATAATATGAGACTAGGTAGTTCGCAATTTTCTTCTACCTACGGTATTCAAAACAGATTTGATAGACATTCAAAATTAGTATTAACACAAAATAGTACAAATACTAGTATTAATAAAGAATCTAAGATAAGTTCTAACATTCCACCTCTACCTATCATATCACCATCTACTTCTACTTCAACATCCTGTTCTTCCTTTCCTAGCTTCGCAGATACAATATTAGCAACAAATGAAAAACCAAAGGTTAAATTTTCAGATACAGTCACACATATTTTTGTACCTGGTACAGTAAGTATATGTACATATAAATGAAATATTAAAGAATAAAAATATCTTGCATTAACTTTCCTTCATTATAGGGCCAATCACATAAACAAAAACGTTCTATTACTCAAGTACATTTAACTGATCCTAAACGGGAATTAGCAGAAAGTCTTCCATTATGTCTTGGAAATGAAGATTATCTGAAAGATTTTCAACCACTACCAAGTGAGGAATATAATTCAATAGTTTCAGTATTGTAAAATAATTTTAAGCATATAATATTATGTTTTATAGAAGAAGATATTAATGACAAAGTAAAGGAATCTTCAAGACCAGAAGAAAGTTCAAAAATAAAAGTTGTACATTTTGGACTCTTATGAGAATATTGATACTATATATATCAGAGATATTATTATGATACAAGATTTGAATATATATATAAGACTGTATTTACATATATTTAAAATTTGAATAAGGATACATATAATTATATATTGTACATAATTTTTATACAATAAAAGTCGTTTTTAAATTGTACTATCAAATTGTTTCTTTATTATTATATAAATTTGCTCTTTTCTTCAAATTATAATATTAAATAAGTCATAAATAAATTCTTATATAAATTAGTAATTATTTCTGTTTAGTTTCGAGGGATTCTTCTAGTTCATTTTTCACATCAATCAATTCTTTGTTGGGTATTAGACGTTTCTTTTGTAGTATTGGATCATATTTATCAATAACTAATGAAACTCCTTCTGGCAAACTTGCTTCTAACACTCTAATAAAAATGGGACATTTTGTAGACGAAACATTTGATATTTGTATGTCCCTCTCATAAATTTTTAAGTCATATTCAGTATCAACTATAGTACTTCCTTTCTTAAATCTTTTTATCTTAAATTCTCTATGTGGAAAAGCAATGCTATAAAAACAAATCAATATATTATTAAAATATATAATATCAAATAATTGTTTACATTAAAACAATATAACTGTAATATTACCTGTCATCAATAGTAAAATCAAATACTTCTACTATTTTATGAATGAAACTTTGATAACTCTCTATTACAGGATACTTGTATCCTCTAAGTTGTATGTTTAAAACAGGATAAAGTGGTATTTCAAATTCCTTTGCCTATAATAATAAGAATAAGTTAAATATCAAACAAACATAATACAAATAAAATATAACATATAATTTATGAAAAAACCTTTATATATGGCGGTTCATATATACCGTAAAGTCTCACTGCTTTATTAAATAATGGACATTGACAGTATGTTGTTATCTATACATACAATTTGATTAAATAATCATTTTAATAAATATGATAGATTAACATAACCTTATCTTGAATAAAAAGCGTACGTATTTACCTGTTTAAGAACACTTAATATCATTTTGTAGCGAATGAAATTATTATTGAATATTATAGTACAATTCTTCAATAAGTAATTTTAATTGTTATTTATTTTAACTTAAATATGCTCTTTCTAATAAATAGATAACATGTATATACACAATAGTGATATATATATAAGTACTTACATATGCATACAGGATGGTGTCTACATTCTACAATTTATTTAAGAAATATTATTTCATATTAAAATTTCATACTATATTATATTCCTATCTATATTATTTACTGTTAAAAAGTTCAAATTAAATGTGGTATTTATATGTAATTATTAAATTTAATTCAAACCCTTTATAAAATTTCTGATTTAAAAGATACTTCTGTTAATGAAAATTGGATTTGATAAACTATTTTTAAAATTTTTATATCTTAGAAATATTTAATTTATAAATTCAGTATTTATAATAACAATATTAAATATATTTCATTTATACATTTTGGTCGTTTATATTCGATCAAATTTAAATTTATTTACACCACAATTTAATTTTTCATACAATCATATTATTAATAAACAGTAGCCCAGTTAAGAATTAAAATGATTGGATATTTCTTATAGACCTGTATGTTACGCTTACAGCCAACAGCCAATAACTGTACTACTACAATCAAGGTATTCTATCAAGATACGAAACAATATTTTAGACGTGTAATATTTGTACATATAACATGCAGTACATGATAATAGTTTAATTATTTTCATTATATGTACAAATGTATTATTTAAATAAAAAATGGATATTGAAACTGAAAATGTAATAAATCTTATATTTCCAAATGGCATACCAGGTAAGTAATATTTACTTTTGTATTAGCACCAAATTTACTCAACATTGAGTTACTATATTTAATCTATCTGTTTGAAGTAAAATTTTAATCTTAAATATACATTATCGTGTATTCTTATAGAATCATGGAAGGAAAATCCAGATTTTTATCAATACTTGTCAAAAATTGGTGGTTACGATGTTGATCAACTCAGTAAGATAAATTCTAATCATAGTTCTTTTATTTAAAACAGAATATAATGTATTTATGTCTTTTTAGATAAAGAACCTGATCATTTAAATGATGAGAAAACTTCAGTATTGCAAACTACACAGGAGTTGGTATTTGCAAATTATAAAACTTTTGTGCAAACAGCTGAAAGTTCTAGAGAAATATTTAAACAAGTAATAACAAATTTTATTATTTATAGTTTTATCAATATATTCACTAATGAAAACATGTTATTTAATTTTAAGTTTAATGAGACTGAAAATCGACTTGACGGACTTGTGCAAAAAATACCTAAGTTTGTAGAAAAGTGCCAATCATTTTGTGATACGTCAAAAGACATAAATACATATAGAAGAATAAATAGTTTAACCCTAACAAGAAATGCAGAATTGCTTGAAGTACTTGAAATGCCTCAGCTGATGGAATCTTGTTTGAGGAGTAGTCAATATAATGAGGCATTAGAATTATCGCAATATGCACGTCAGTTGGGAACTAAACATGGAGATATTCCAATCATATCGGTAAAATATAATATATTTACAAAATGTGACAAAATATATTTCATTTTGTTTATTAATGATTTAGTCGATAGTGGCAGAAATTGAAAGCAGTTGGTCTGGCATGGTAGGGCAAGTTGTTGGTTCATTAAGAGGGGATTTACCGCTTGCAAGGTGTCTGCAACTTGTTGGGTTATTACGATCTATGGATGCTTTTACGGAACCTGAATTACGTATTAAATTTCTACAAGCACGTGATAGTTGGCTTCAAAGTCTCTTAAATGCTATACCTAAGGAAGATCGTAGGTTGATTCTGTATATAATATCAGATGTTATAATATATTGTCATTAAACTATTTAATAATGTATAATATTTTTCTTTAGCTAATCTTCATATCACAAAAACAATAGAATTGTCAAGGATACATTTATTTAATATAATAACGCAATATAGGGCTATGTTTAATGATGATGAACTAATAACACCAGGAAGAGATTTAGCTGTAAACGAGTGTGCCATATTTTACCATTGGATTGAAGAAAAGGTATGTAAAATACTCATGTTTTTTTAAAAATATATTTTTAATACAGTTTATTTAATTTTTTTTAGATATCTCAATTTTTAATAACTTTAGAACAAGACTTACCAGGTGTGACATCAATAGATTCTATTTTGGGTCAATGCACATATTTTGGTTTATCATTTGGTAGAGTAGGTGCCGATTTTACGGGTCGGATGTCTGATATATTTGTACGTGTTATTGGAGAAAAATTTGAGTCTAGTGTTCGTAAAACAACAAAAAAATTTGAAAAGGATATGGAATCATTTACTTTAATTAATAAAATACAAAAAACTAATATTAAAATGCCTACTGCTGTTAAATCGGTAAATAATTATTTATTATATTATATATTCTTATTTGTTTAATGAAATGCAACAATAAATTTATACATAAGGTACACCTTTTAACATAACAAAAATCATGTTTTACAGGAGAATCCACCAGAACAATTGGTTGAATTTTATCCTTTAGCTGAATATTGTAATGGACTTATTTCAGCTTTTAATGAAATACGACTTTGTCCACCAGTAGCACTTTCTGTTTTTTGTACAAAGATATTGCAGGAGTCCTTACATAACGTAGTAAAATCAATATTACTTTTTTACAAACAAGAACAGCAAGTAAATTAATATTTTTAATTCATATTTTATCGATCATTTTTGTGTGTGTGTGTGTGCGTGCGTGCGTGCGTGCGTGCG